TGCTTGGCTGGGAACAGAAAGTCCTAACAGGGGACCAGCACCAGGGTGTCCCCACCATCACCCCATCCCACACATACTGACACTTAGCTAAACAGAAAAGGTCTGGCTAAATAATCAACCATGTCTGGGAAGGAAGAGGCAGGAACTTGGGTAGTTCACATGGAATCAGCAGAGGGAAAGCCTGCGTGTTTGTTTTTGGCTTGGCTAAGTTAAAGGGGTATTTGGCCTGAAGACAGGGCTGAGAAGTAGCTCCCTCTTAAACAGCCAGGAGAGTCTTTGCTGAAGGAAGAGGTAAGAGTTACAAGGCAGGTATCACAGAGGGTTATAGCTGGAGGTGCTGGGCAGAAAGTGACTGTGTTGAGAGGTGAAATCCAGCAGGGTGAAAGTGATGCAGGAGAGGGTTGAGCACTGACTCAGCATTTTAAATTCCCCGTAACAGCTCAGGACATTCACTGAGGTCAGTTACCATCTGTGCGGAACCATCTTTATGCAGCTCCAGACTTTTCTGCCAAAGAACCAGAAATGACAGTCATTAATGCAACCAGGCAGAGCCCCTGCACTGCTCAGGCAAGTTCATCCATGATCCCACCAGGGTCCTCTTGTTTTTAATGTAAAACACAAACCCTGGTTTAGGACCAGACTCCCAAGTGGAGGTATCAGGCCCAATTTCCACTCTTCCTCACCTTTCCCCAGTAACATAAGGGAAGAGCCCTTTGGGAAAACCCTTACATATGGCCTCCTCAGATGGGGTAATGCTGTTGGGAAAGGAGCTGCCAGTTTCAGGGAGGGGCAGCAGGAGCACTAGCCCTTGGGACTAAGGGAACCTTGTTGGGAAGCCTGTTTTGGGAGAGTAAACATGTCCCAGTAATACAAAGGCCTTATGAAATGTGGGATGGGCAGCTGTAGAGACACATAATCCATCTCCCTGGGCCAACAGACTTGTTCAGCCTGTATCTTGCTGTCACTGCAGGAGAAAGGCCTGGGGAGAGACCTATAGGCAAAAGGCTATAAGAAAAAACAGCACAGTAGGAGATGGAACTTGTTTGTACCGCAGATGCCTGGCTTGACCTCCTCTCCCCACTAGTCAGCCCTAATGCAGCTCCTGGGCTCTCCATCTCCTTCAGCCAGGAATCCTTAGGCAATCGGTAGATCTCCAGCCAAGCTTTTGTGCTGTCTGCATTGGGAAACCATATTGAGCAATTGGAAATGAGAGAAAAAGGTCTTTCAAACATGTAGCCCCTGTTTTTTTATATCCTCAAAAGGAGATTTGGATATTTTTGGAAATATAAAATCCCTGCGAGCTCCATGCAGCCCAGCTCCCCCCTCACTTCTGGATTGACATGCTTGACTAAGACTGACATCTGAGCCCCTAGCTCAAGTCCTCAAGATCCCACATCCACCAAAAAAATTCCATGGAGTGACTCAGTCAAATAATTTGAACTGTACCCTCTGAGGTAAAGTGGAAGTGGGATGTGGTCACACACTGGTTCTCTGTGGATGCTACTTATCTCATTCTCAGCATATATTCAGGCAGATTCCACCAAACCTGGGTCCAGAAAACCTGCTGGCAGCAAATGAGTTCACAAAGGCAGCTGCCAACAAACAGAAGAATGTTGCAGCAATGAGTTTGTTGTAGTGTTTTCAGACACTGTCTCTGTCCTGACTGGATTATGCCTGCTGAGAAAATTTTACAGGTTTACACATTTCCAGTGTAAAAGTGAGCCACAGTAAACCAGAGGAGGAACCGAGTCTGGTACTTCTGGAGAGGAGAGAGAAACCTGTTTTCACTGAGCCTTTCTGGGAGCTGGGAACTACACTGACCAGTTCGAGAGACCTCACTTTTGGGATCAGTCTTGATTCACACCAGGCCATTTGGAGAGGACAGGATGTGGCAGGAGCAGCTCTAAGCTGGAAGAGGGACTGGGAGCATTAGGAACAGAATCCCTGTGAACCTAGAACACTTGGAGCATTTTAAAAGCACTGCTGCTGGCCCCTCTGCTACAACACAACAGCCTTCATTCATCACACCATGTGCACTTGCCTTGCAGCAGGACTCCTGCATAATCACCTCGTGGGGACAGCACCACCTCCACACAAGTACTTCTCTTGCTGATATCCTCCTGCCAAGGAAAAACGGGCATTAAAGGAAGGTCACTGATTCAGAGAGCTCCATGGCCTTACACAGCCCTCAATGGGGTGAGGGCCAGGCAGATTGTTGAAGAACAGGAATAAATATTTGGCTGCTGCTGATGATGATGACAGAAATTACTGAGGGGAATTAGTCCTCTTCATGATTGATTACTTACCAGCCCGTGCCCAGTGTCTATGGAATAACTCAGTACTTACTACTTCATTTAGGATTTTAATGAGTAAGAAGCTTTCCTTGTGAAAGCAGAAGAGACAGACAAGCCCTGGAATAGAAATAGAGAAGTAGCATTAGGAGGAGGAGAAAAGTGAACAGATGGTCGCCATGCTCTTTGAGACGGCTGTGATAACACGTGCAGGACAGTGAACAGGACTACATTTTTTTCGTGGGCTGAAGGAAGAATATCTCACTGCTGCCAGCACTAAACTTTTGCTGGCTTTGTTAAGCCAGCACCAGCAAATATTTGATTGTACATAGAGATGGCTAAGCCAATTTGAAAAGTATCTCCACCAGAATTTATAGGCTTCAGATGAATCAACAAACTAACCAGAGGGCTGTGCAATTACAGCTGTAGGAGACCATACCAAGCAGTGGTTCTTTCTGTCCAAAGTGTTCCTAAAATTTACTGTACACCACCTTCAGCTCTGCAAGAGCCTCTGTTACTCCATACAGGACACCAAACCCACACCCTCTACTAATCACAAGGCCCTAGGGCCACTCTGCCACCCTACAACTGTTATCTAACACTCTTTTTGCAGGGCTTTCCAGGAAACCTGTCAGCCCTTCAATGCTCCTCCTGATTTAGCACTCTTCCATAATGCAGCTGCCAGCTTCAGAGCATAGCCATCCCAAGCTAGGTCAAGGAAATCCGCACCACACTCACCCATTTCATCCACAGCAAACAAGATGTGGACCTCATTTCCCAAATCCAAGGCATGGATAGCACAAATCTCTGTCTTGACTGCATCCCAAGCACAGACCTCCGTGTAGTCAGACACCTTGAAGGCAGCCAGGCCCACAGACAAGCCAACAAAGATGTATTTCCCAGACACTGTAAGGCAAGTGGCTGTTCCAGTTACCTACCAAGAAAGGGAAAAAGAGGAGAGTACCCGACTGTTTCTCCAGTGGAGGATACATCAATACTCCTAATCTTTCACCAAGAGAAAATGCTGATTTATTCTACAAGGGGGAAATTTTTGCCTGAACTTCCATCAGAAGAGCAGGGAAGAAGCTCTCATCCCTGCCCCAGAGACTGTCCTGTGTTGGTAATGAAAAAGTGTGCTCCTACATTTCCCCTTCCAATAAATAGAAGGGGCCTTAAATGCCAAGACCTCAGTCCTGCCACTGCTAATGCAGAGCTGGGATGGGATGCTGAACTCCTCTGGACAACCACAGGACTCCAGCAGACAGCATCTTATCCTCCTGGAATACCTGAATACCTCCACATAACGATGGGGAAGGCAGCGCTGCCCTTCTGCTCACTGCACTTCCATTTCGGTGTTCATCATAACACAGACCTGAGTTTGCCCATTTATATGCTACTGACTAATCACCTTCTCCCCAGCCAGCAAGGGTGGGGCCAGCCTGAGAAGCAGAAGGTGAATTTAGTTTAATGTCTGCTTCTCTGTTTTCAGAGAGGTGTGATAGATGGGAGGGAAGCAGAACCTGTCAGGCAAGCTCAGAAGCTGCAACCTTTTGAAGTGAATCGGTGATCTGGTGCTGGATTCTGAGGAAGGCAATGAACAGAAGAATGTGAAATCAACTGAATGGGTATTCTCTAGAAAAACTGCTACAGTGATTAATGCTGTCTCTGACATGAGGGGCTCTGTACCTGGAATTCAGCTGTAGCAAAGCATTCTGTGGGCTTGACCTTTAGTTTTTCTGCTTCTCGGAGCCTTTCCCTTCTTTCAATGATTTCCATCGCATCATCAAAAACCAGCATCACCAGTTTGGTGACCATCCTGACGGGCTGAGGCAGCGCATCGCGCTCTCGCTCGGGATCCTGCAGGAAGAAGTCTTCGCCGTCATCCTTTAGCCAGTCCTTCTCAGATGGCGGAGGAATCTCCAGGGGATGCTTCCGGATATACACAGCCATGGTGGTGCCCTTCCAGACGCAAACCACACCAGAGATGCAGGAAGCACAGCGGATGCAGAAGAACAAAGAATCGGGCAATATCTGCTTTCATGAGGTAATGGGGGGAAAAGATTATTAATGACTTCTAAGAGGGAAAGGAGATCACTTCAGTATAGATAACCCTGTTCTAGATATAGATATATAGATATAGATGAGATGATATAGATATAGATGGTATAGATATAGATAACCCTTCTTTCAACTGGCTGTATCACCCCTGTGACCCAGGGGCTTTGTCATGCTCTGGGAATACCAGCCACACCGACTGCAGGAAAAGGAAGCATAAAAGCTTTGGCACCGGATTGTATTAGAATTATGCTAAACCATTAAAAACTCTAAGCCTATTCTTCATTAAATGACTTATTCGGCCCGGATCAAACCCCAACCCTTAATTCTGAGCACAGGTGGTTACACTGGAAGTTACAAACTTCATTTCGGGTGCTTTCCGAGCCTCCCACTGTGCGGCGGGGCCGGGCCCCACAGCCGTGCCCTCACACAGCAGCCTAACCTCGGAGCGAGAGCCGGGACTCGACAGTCCGGGCCGAAGCGGAACCGCTGCAGCCGCTGGCAGCGATCACCGGGCAGCCGCGGGCTGGGAGGACCCCTTTAGCGGGGACACCTGCCCCGCCGTTGGCGGTTGCCGTGGCAACGGAGCGGCGCCGCGCGGCCCGGCCGGGAACGCGCTCCGCAGCGGAAGGTTCCCCCGGGCGGGGAGGGACCTGGGCGGAGCGGCCGCGGTCCTCGCACGCCTCCCGTCCGCCGCTGCCGCCATGGAGGGCTTCGTGGAGTTCACCAACCGTAGCCAGGGCCGCGACCAGCTCTTCCGGTGAGTGCGGCCTCGGGGCCGGCTTCTCGGGCACCCCCGTGGGCCCGGCGGCGCCGTGGGGAGCAGCATCTCCAGTGGCGCTGCGGGTGACGGGGCCCTCGGCCGCTTTAGGGCGCCCTGCCTCGGGCAGGAGAGCTGCCTGGGCCCGCTGGTCCTTCTTGTGCCCCTGCCCCGGGCTGGATCTCGCCCTGGCACTGCCGAGGTGCGAGAGGGGTGGCCTGAAGCTCGGGCATAAGCGCTGCCCTGCTGCTGCCGTGCCTGTGAATTGTCCGTGTTTCACCTCTGTACCGTTCTCCTCGTTTTTTCCATTCCAGAGCCACTCAGTACACATGCATGTTGCTTAGCTATTTAATAGAGCGTAAGGCTGATAAAGAGAAGCTGGTAATGAAACTCAAGCAGTTGGAGTCTAGCATGAGCTCTGGCCGCAAAAGTAAGTACCTGGTGACTAGGGGGATAAGTCCTTCTTCGCTTGCTCCTTCCAGCAAAACAGCTCCTGGCCTTGCTTTTCCTGTAGTTAACTTACCTTAGGGCACAAAACCTCTTTAGTATGTTCACAGAGTGGTCAATGGGCCTTATCCTGCCTTAGCTTGCCAGGCTAGATAGGGCCAAATGGGTACCTATTACTCCCTCAGCCTCTTCTCCCATCAGGCGATCTGAATTACTGCTGGGAGAACTAGCGACATAAGTTAAGTCAGCTGCAGAGATCAAGCTGTCAACTCTGTCCAAGGCCAAACCACAGAGTTACCATGCAGGGCTGGCTTGCTGTGGTGTCATTAGTCCTTCCAGCTAATGGGTTGAGACAGCCTGAGGTTAAGGACTATCATCCCAATAAAATCATCTCTGAAGGTCTATCCTTCAATATGCCTTTTATATCCTACTTCACATAGTAGTTGTCTTTAGCCATTTTTCTCTACTAAGTTATATACCCTTCCACACTTCTCATAGTCTCACTCTTTACATCACTTTATTCTGTGTCACAGTTGCATCCAGTATGGTTGGCCTGTTGCTGTGGTTGCATTGCTTGCTTTCCAGTTGACCTTACACCTACTTACCAATTGCTCGATCTTGGAACAACTTATGTATCTGAGGGAAATATTCCAGTTTAATGTGTTACCATGGATGTGTTTTGTTATTCCACTTACCTCCAGTGTATGGCAATTTCTAGCAGAGAGGCCAGCTGGTTTATCAGCGTAGCTGTAATTCTCTTGCTTCTGCTAAAGAAACAGCTAATAAATGGCAGTCCTGAATTCAGGACTCTTGTAGTTCCGCTGAGGTTGGGTGCTGCCAACATCTGTCACTGTGACACTGCAGTAGGTTATGAAAAGCATTTTGCATAATATTGCACTAACATTCACAAGGCAAACCCCAAACTGTACAGTGGATGAAATCGGGCTTCTCATATGTTACAGCTTAAAATGGGATACACTGTTCCTGTTTGTGCAGGACTCTGCCAAGTTGATGGCTGAAGAGGGATTTGGGTCTTAGTGTGCTAAGCATGTGAATCAACAGCTTTCACAGAAGCTCAGGAATGTTGTAGCTCATGGTTGCAGCAGGGTTAGTGCAGTAACATCTGTCCACAAAGTTAGGTGAGATCCAGTGAAACACCTGAAATTGGAAGCTCTGTTTGTGTCCTGTTTGTTGACACTGGCTGGTGCAGAGCTGTGGGTCAGACTGGTCCAGAGGGCACCCAGGCTCTGAGAATGGAGCAGTAGGAGAAGGCTGCAAGTCTATTACCCTGGCTAGTAATAGAACTTGTGTGTAAGTCCTGGGCTGGTGGAGGACGGAACTGGGATGTGTACACCCCGTTTTTTGCTGATAGTAGCTATTCACACTGTGAGAAGAAAATGCTTAAGGATACAAATGCCCAAAGGCCACTAAGTTATTTAAAAGTACACACGGACAGTGACAGGTTGACCTGTGCAGGGCTGTGTCTCTGCAATAAAGACCATGCCATGCTAACCTTTGTGGGGTTTCTTGCAGTGTTCAGACTGGGCAACATGGTGCACGCCTTGGTAGCAGCCAGAAGAACTACACAGCTGCCAGATGTGGTTCCTCGCTTCTGCCTTACAGCCTCCAACCTGACCCGAGCCCTCTACTTCGTCTGCGATGCGGTGCTGTGGTTGAACAGTGTCGGGCTCCAACCTGATATTGATAAGCCAAAGTGGCGGAATTGGGCTACCAAGTGCTACTACATTTCGCTCTTGATGAATCTAGGCAGGGACTGGTATGAGATCTCCTGGAGGCTGGAACAAGCTATACAGGAAGAAAAGATAAAGGAGAACTCATGCTGGGACAAACACAGTCAGGAACTTAACAGTGTGAAAAGTGATGGTGTGCATGGTTTTCTCCTCCTGCTGCTTCAGATATTGAAGAAGCATCCTCCTTTGCTGCTGGACTTGGTGAAGAATCTCTGTGATCTCTCAGGTCCTTTGGATACGCTAGGGATCTACAAGACCAACCCAGGAGTGATTGGTTTTTGTGGTGTCCTCTCCTCCCTGGTGGGGATCCTCACATTAGCCAGCCCACATCTGAAGCTGAAACAGTGACATGAAAGGATATGTATAGTATGCAGCAAGCCAACGCCTTTGGTCCTCTGATAGGTTTTTATCCTCCATATGGCACTTTCAAAATGGACCTGTCTCACAGTAACCTCAAGATTAATTTTGTCCTCTGAATAAGTGATTTCTACCCTTTATTCTTCCCTGTGTCTTTGCAGATGAGTTTGGTGCCATGACACACTCCCTGATGGAATAAGTGGAGATGGGAGAAGGCATAAACAGGACATGGCTGCTAGATAAGGAAATATTGATGTTCCTATATTTTAATACAGGGTTGTGAAATAGCTGCTTAGACAGCTGCAATAGGTATATGACTCATAACTAATCGTGTTTACACTGGAAAGCTGGAATTCCCTGTTCAAAGGTCCCTACAGTCAGGTTTTCTATAGTGGGCTCAGGCAAGTTAGGAGCTGTTGTTAAAATGGCCTGAACTCAAGTACAGGTGTTCTGATGGGTTTGGGTTGCTGGATCCTGCTGTGGTTTGTAGGTAGTGGTTTGAATGCAGTGTGATGGTAACTCAAGAGTGATATGATCTCTGTCACATGCACTGATGACACTGGATCTGTAGTCTAGTGAGTGCCAGTGTCCCAAGAAATTAGCACTGTGCTCTTTTCCTTCAGTGATGTGAGCCAAGGACCATTGGCCACCGGCTCTGACTTCTCCAGCAGCCCATGGCTGCGGGTTTTGGTGAAGGACTCATGAGTGCTTGTCTGAGTGCTGATGATGCTGTGATTTGTCAGGAACTGGGTTTCCAAAACTGTGAATCTGAAACCACTCACAAGCACTAAATATCCTAATACATGCACCTTAACTCCCAAACCCCTGTGACTGCGAGTGCAACAATTTTCCATTAATCATATTGTGATAAGGAGCTTGTTTTGCTGTTTTAATTTTATGTGAAAAGTCCCAGTATAATGAGGAGCTTTGGAACATGCAGTTGAGGAGTTGAGCCTGGCTTAGAGCTTGTTGAGTCAGGAAAACTGCAAGGGAGTGTTTCTAGTTGTGTAAGCTCCCAGAGGGAAGGGAGTGGAGTTGGTCATGATAATACCAAAATCCCCTGTGAGAGCTGAAGCTTATAACTGGATTTGGGCATTCATGGGTTAGATTTTCCTGTCTGGTCCTCCCTCCCCTCCTCTCTCATGACCACAAGGTTTCTTGTGTGTTACCCCCCTGGTTGAATGGGTTCTACCATTTGAAATGCCTTATGTTTGCCCTGCAACTGTATTATTATTCATTAATTCCCTCACTGGGAATGGTTGCCTGGCAGTGTCATCTGAGTTAAAAGAGAAATGCTGTGTCCAGCTGTCTAATGTGGCATGAAGTGCTTGTTGCTTCTGACTTTGCAGATACCAGTTCTGACACCATATGAGGAAATCTGCACATTATCTAGGAGATAAAATGATCATTATTCTTCATCAGAGTTAGGTCTGTGTGTTCTGCTACTTTCTGGTACGAGGACTCCTTGTTTAACCTGTCAGGAGATGTGCACAGAGGCTACTCTAACCTGGACCAAGGTACTTTCTTATTATTTCTGATGCTGTCTGAAAACAGAAGTTAAAAGGTGCTGGTCCCCCTTTATTAAAAAGCAAAAGCTCTGGAATTGAGTAGGCACAGTAGGGCAGAGCCCAGTTAAATCACTGTGGTCAGACTTGGAATTACTTCCAGTTTGAATCTGAAGTGTTAGCCTGCCAGTGAAGCGTTTTAAAAACACAGGTTGCTGGGCAGGATAAGTGTGCTTGAAAACCAGATGTGGCCTGCAGCAGCTCTTCTTTTTAGTATGGAAATTAATACCATTAAAAGTAGAGCATGCTGGCAGTTCAGACTATAGTGGAGCATTGTGTATGGGATATGTTGTCTTCAAGGACTTCCTCTCCTTTATAACAATGGAATATTTTTTGCTGCTTTGCTCCTTTTGCCTTACAGCTCCCAGCAGTGTGGAGCCCATCCCTCCCTTGGTCAGATTTGATCGTTATCCAGTGAGTAGCAACCCCTGTGAGGAAGAAAGAGCAGTTTTGATGATCTGGAAGCAGAGGTTTGGCCACCTTTTGTCTACAGAATTTCATCTTCTTGCAAAAAAAAATAATGTATTTTGAATTCTTCTCAGGGAGCTCTCAGATACAAACCACTTCTTTCACTGTTTGTGAACTCATTTCTCTTTTTCTCTTGTACTTTACCTGTAGGTAAAGGGAAATTGGTACTGAATAGTGCTGTGGCCCCAAGGCAGCTACACCTCCCTGTGCCCTGTGGAGGCAGAAGGGTGTTTTTCCCCTGTGCCAGGCAAACACTATGCAAAGCCCTGAGCCAGGCTTTGATGTTTCTCCTGTAGGGGCTGGCTTGCACTGGCAAGTACAGACTTAATGTGGGAGATGGGGCAGGGAGTTTTCAGCCTCTCAGCCTTACCTGTCCCATTCTTCATGATGTGGGTTGGAACATGCAGGAGTAACTCTCTTTACTGGATGTTAAACACTAATAGTTGCCTTCTGCTCCCTAGCTGGAGGGTAGCAATTTGATGTACTTTAACATAATGTGACTGAAGCCATAGAATCACAATCATGTGGAGAAAATCCTTTTAGTGCCTTATTTTTGTATCTAATACAGCAGTTGGAATAAGGACAGCTGCTTGAACACAAGCAATAAACTGAGATGAGCCTGACACTGCGTCTGTGTGTGTAACTTATATGGTGGCATAAAGTGATGGAAGGAGGAATCCTCCCTCCATCTCTGAACTTTATGGGGGATGATACTGCCTATAGTTTCACCTGGGTTATAGAGATTTCTTTTTGCCATAGCAAGGTGGCAGCCAGATCCTTCAGACTAATTTACAATCCTCATTTCAGTTGCAGAAACACGAAGCAGTAACTACATGGGTACTAGGTAAAACTGCATATATGAAATGCCCTGAAACAAAGTGCCATCAGTTGCCCTTGAGTACCAGCAGTGAGAGCTGGAGCCTTGTGCCCAGCTACAGTGAAAGGAATGGCTGCACCTGCATTTTGGTATCTTATAAACAGCTTTCCATTGGGGTGGATCTGCAGTTGTTCAACACCAAATGCCTGTTCAGAGCAGGGAGTGAAGGGTGACATGTCCAGATGAGGTGGTGAGGGATGGAGCCAGGATAACATTAAAACAAAGCATACTGTTAGCTCCTATTCCCTGCAGTAAGAGTCATGCAAACTTGGAAGCTCCAAAATGTCAGTTCCTGAACAATGCACAAAGCATGGCATTCAGCAGTGTTTGAGCAAGCGTTTCCTTCTGAATTACTGATCTCTATAACACTGTGTAATGGAAACAGTTGACAGGAGAATGGCCTTTGTGAGATTTGCAAAGTAATCTACTTACAGACAAGGCCTTCCTAATGTTAATACCATGCTTGGTGTGGTATCTCAAGACATGAGTGAGCCATTTGGGATTCCCAGATGAGTGGCAAGAAGGATCCAAGGTCTAAAAACCAACATCTCCAGGGAGAGACCAAATGAACCAGTTCTATAGAGGAAAGGTGACTGTGGGAGGGTGTGAGAAGGCTTCAAGTGTCTAAAAGGGTGTCAAGAAGAAGGCAATAAATTGGTCTTTAAGTCCATCCAGGAGGCAATACATTCATATTGCAGCAAGGGAGAATTAAGCCACACTTCTTTTTGAACTGAAAAAGACTAAATGGATTGCCCAGGAAGGCAGTCCTGAAGAAGAAGCTGGACTGACATCTACCAGCAGCGGTTTAGGGGGTGCCGATACTGCCATAGGGCATGGAAATGAATTAGTTACCCCTCCAGACCCAGGTGTAAAGGTACCTTGCAGGTCTGTGGGGATCTGGCTATAGCGTATAGATGGGTATGGAGCAGACTGCAGAGACAAGGGTATAAAACAGCTTCCCTGCACCCAGCTGATGTGGTGAGCTCTTGCTATTGCCTGCAGAAACACAACGTGTTTCGAGGTGGAGGTGATGGTACCTTTGCACTGCAGAGCCAGGGCTGGCACAGCCTTTGCCCTGGAGGAAGGGGAGGGGATGAGCAAAGGCATTAGTAGGGCAAAGGCTACATCGATCCCGGCTCCAGCCAAGGCAGAGGGAAGGTTGGCATGCCCCCTGCACTGTGAGCAAGGCCAGCAGGGATGGAAAAAGTCCCAGTGCCAAGAGAGCAAATGTTTGCTGCCCTTTGTCCCGCTGTCTGGAGAGCAGTGACTGCTGAGCTGGAGACAGCCCAGGACAGCCACTCACCTCTGTGCCCAGCTTGGCAGAGCCCTGGGCTGGAGGCAAACTTGAGGCTCTTTGGGAGGAAAAGGGGTATTTTCCTCCCATGCACTGGAAATGTCCCACCTTCATGTTCAAGGGAGCCGTGGAGCTATGTTGGGTGCATGCCTCTGTGTCCTGCACAGGGGCTGTTCAAGGACTTGGCTCTGCTGCCTGGGCCTCTCCGATGCTGAGCAGCATGCCAAGCATCTCCCTGCCTCATGGTGGCTGGTCCAGGACACAAAGCAGCCTTGTGTCAGCCTTGGATCATCTGCACTGATCCCCTTGGCAGGGAGCAGAAGCAGTGGGATCATTGCAGCAGGTCAGGGGGAGCAGTTGTTCCTCTCTTTGAAGCACATCTGGGGATCCATCTCCCATTTTGGCCCCATCAGCACAGGGGAGATCTTGACTCCAGCAGAGGATCACTGTGAGGGTAAGGCATTAGGCACACAGAGCACATGCTGAACCAGCAGAGACTGGAGCCCAAGCTCTGCTCAGGGGTGCACAGAGCCAGGGTAAGAGATGGCAGGCACAAACTGCAACAGACGAAATTCCACCAGGATATAAGGAAAAATGAGTATGGTTAGCACAGCAACTGGGCCCCAGAGAGATGGGGATCTTATCCTTGGAGATTTCAGGACTGGACAAGACCTTGAGCAGCCTGGTCTAGCTTTGAACAAGAGCTGGATGAGGTGGCCTCCACTTCCAACCTGATTTTTTAGCTCCATGTCTGTCTACTCCAAACACCTGGAGTTTTCCTAATGCAGTGTCTGACCTAGGACCCACCTAAAAGCCTCCTCACCAAAACCCTCAATGAATTCCCTTCCTTGGACTTGCCCAAACCAGACTGGTCTATGCAGGATGTGTCCCCCATGTCCACCTGCCGCTCCTTCTGCTTAGTGAACTCACCTGGGGAGAAACTATGTTCTTGGTCTGTGTTGCATTTCCCAACAGGGCAGGATCCTGGTCCACCACAGGGCGTAACAGGGGCTACAGAAACACAGGAAGGGTTTAACCTCTGTGGAAACCCTGCCTGACTCTTCACCTTCTCCCTGGCTGCTCATCTGTTGCTTTTGAGGTGGTGAGGTCCAAGGGCAGCTTCTTCTCATCTTCTCTTGATGGAGCCGCATTAAACTCTGGTGCATCCCAGCTGGGCCCCAGCGTTGCAGGGAGGACAACAAAGGGGATTTTCTGCCATCATTTGTTCCAAATTACAGTGATTTCATGGAGCTCTTTGGCCACTTCCCACTGCAAGGCTCCAGCTCCCAAACCCCACGCAACCAGGAGGTGGGGCCTGGTGGTGGTAGTGGCTGGGGCACTCGGTGCATCACTCTCAGAGGACCAGGGTGAAGGGACAGTGCAGCCAGCACCCTCTGCTCCTGCTCTGCTGGGGACGGGCTGCCCCTCGGTGAGTAGTGTGTCCCACCGGGACAGTTTCAGTGGGATGGGGAGATCAGCTGCTATCCCTAAACCTCCTGAATGTCATCTGCTGCTAAGGAAAGGGAACCCATGGCTGGGAGCTGGAGCTGTGCTTTGTGCTGGTGCCCACCGGGAGCATTGGAGATGGGTGTTTTGCAGTGATTTTGCCCACTGGATGGAGCTGGGGCTGCACTGGCATTGCGAGTTGCAGAGCTGCAGATGTTCAGGAGGGGGATGTACAGTCACATCACCACATCCCTACCTGCAGCTCCTCTTTCTGCTCCCATCCTGCTGCCTTGTCCCTTCCCAGCCTGCATCTCCCAGCCTCCATGCACGTCTGTTAGCATTCTGGTTGCTCCAAGCTTGCTTTACAGCGGTGACATTTATCCTGCCTGTAGCTCCTCCACACTAGATGCCTCTCAACTAATACTTTGCATCTGTTGGGTGTTAAGACACACAAGCAGGGCAGGGCTGTGTGGAGACATTGGTTTTGCAGCTGAACTGGTAACAAGTCAAGCATTAGGCAATGCTGCATCTATTGCACCCACGGGAGATGCCTCAGCCCAGCTCCCGGCCCTGCCGTGCTCGGGGGGGTGCAGGAGCGACTGGGGGAAGCCCAAACCCAGTCCTGCCCTCAGAGCAGGGTCTGAGGCTCCCGGCTTTGCTTTGCAGGTGGGTGAGTCACGATGACAGCCAAGAAGAACCAGACTCTGCAGAATGGAAGTGCCAAGGTGGGTGCAGGAAGAGAGGGGAGGGCAGAGGGTGCTGGGCAGCACATACCAGCTTGGCCAGATGAATACAAGTCACATCTCACGCTGTCCCATGTGCTCACCTCTTTATACAGAACTTTACCTGCAATAACATAGAGCATCAGCAAAGGGAAAGGATAAAACATTTTGTCTGCTTGAAATTAAATAGTACAGAATCAAGGAAGTTAACCCTTGGTGGTGCCTGACAGCACTGCCTGTCCCTCATCTGTGTCCCCACTGTGGACCCCAAGCCTCCAGCAAAGCCAGCTGAGCTTCCTGCTCCAAGAGAGCTCTTGCCTCCTGATTGCTGCATGAGCCAGTGTTCACCCCAGTCCTCCCTTGGGGCTGCAGCCCCTCTCTCTGTTGTCTCAGCTCACCAAGCGGGCACTGGGTGAGAGCAGGAGCAGAGGGTTGGAGCTGCAGGTTTATCCTGCTCACCCAGCTAAGAGGGACCTACCTCCAGCCATGCCCTGCCACTGGCAGCACACGTGGCATCCCCCATCACCCTTGCTAGCAGGATGCAGTGCCTGGCTTCCTCAGAAAGCTCTGGTGCCCTCTTCTCACATCAAGGGCTCCTATGAACACCCTATGAAGACACATGCCCTCAGGGATAGACCTGTTCCTCTCCCCTTCTCCTTTTTGAGGTCCATTTACCTTACTTGTCACAGTGGTGATGAGGCAGACAGGACAGAGGTACCACATAGGCACTGGTCTTTGCTGGTCCAAGGACAGGAGCAAGGGGTGGGTCAGATGGAAGAAGCAGCAGAAAGCCGGAGGGAGCATGAGATGCGGGGACGCTGCCTGTGGCATCCCAGCCAGCCTGCTGGTCCATGGCTGTGCCGAGACGCTCAGTGTGGCTCAAGAAATGCCCTCCTCCTCCAGCATCCTCTGTGGTCACTGCACCACACCAATGTCCCTGGTGTGTGGATGACGGGGTGCTCCTCAGAGAAGGGCCTGCTGGTAACCAGTGCTCATCTGCCACCCACAGGAGAACGTGCTGCAGAGGGTGCTGCAGCTGCCGGTGGTGAGCTCAACCTGCGAAAGCCTGCAGCGGACCTACACCACCACCAAGGAGGCCCATCCGCTCATGGCCTCCGTGTGCGAGGTCTATGAGCGGGGCGTGCAGGGTGCCAGCGCCTTGGCCATGTGGAGCGTGGAGCCGGTGGTGCGCAGGCTGGAGCCCCAGTGTGAGTGCAGAGGGGGGGGACACAGCAGGGATGAACCCACCGTGATGGGACTGCGCTGGCACTGGCATGTGCTTGG